ATTTTTTCTACTGTTCGTCTGAACTCTTCATTGTTTCTCGGATTTTCTTTGCAGAAGTCTTGAAATTGCCACCTAGCCATGATTCCGTGAGAGAAAGCTTCAATTACTTCTCGTTCGGTGATGTCATGCACTTGAGCCCGCAGTTCGCCGAATCGTCGATAGTAATTTCTGAGACTTTCGCCCCCCTTTTGCTTGAGTCCTTTCAGTTCTGCATGAGTGATCGGGTGTGTGATGATACCCGCGAAATTTTCACAGAAAGCTCTTTGCAAGTCTTCCCAAGTTCTGATCGATCCTGGGTTCAATTTATCGAACCATTGGAGGGGCATCGCTTCCAGTGCCATGGGAAAGAACAAGGTTTTGATATCATCGTCTCCTCCGGCTAGTTCAATTGATTGTGAATATATTCTGAGCCATTGTCTTGGTTCGGTTTTGCCATCATACTTGGAGTGGTTAGACGGTTTGAATTTGTGAGGTAATCGTACTGATGCCAACCTGTTTGCAAAACAGGGGAATCTGTCATGCGTTCCGGCTTCCTTGAATTCGGATTCGGCTCCTTCTTCTGGCCAAGTGTTGTTTTGATGGGAATAAGTCTGCGAGGCTGTCTGGGTAGGCACTCTACTCCTGGTCTTCTTTGGTTGTTCAAATTGGTGGCCCCGACTATGTTCCCTCCTACTTTCTCCGTTATGGCTTCCGCTTGGCCCAAGTCTTTCAAAAGCGGATTTCCTTTGATTTTGATCTTCTTGCCTACGAGTTGTTGATCTGGCGGGTAGTCTTGATCGGGCTCTCTCTTCATGCGTTCTTGGGATCGTTGACCGGAGCAAGTCCTGGAGCTGTTCATACCTCTCTCCGTGATGTGAAGTTGCCCTGAGTTCTTCTAATGCTTCTCGATTCTTATCGTAAGGCGTATTCACTGTGCGTCTTTCTTCGGCTTCTTGTTGTGATTTTCTTCTGTTGTATTCAGCCAAATCTGACTCGTATCTGGTCCAGGTTTCTCTACGCTGCCTAGCGCGGTGTTGGTGCCCTTGCTTCAACTTGTTTTTCCTTTCTCTAGCCTGTCTCTGACTCTCGGTTTCTCCATCGTAGCCCTGGGCAAAGGGTGATATGTTGGACTCTGATTCATCTGATGACCTGACATCGGGTGCTTCTAGGGGATTTAATGGTGACCGAGGGCGTCGAACCATGAGCACTTCCCGTGCGTGAGCCGTTCCGTTATTGGTGTTAGTTCTTATACTGTCGGAGTTGCTGATGACTTCAGTAGGCGCCTCGACGTTGCAGATCGAGTCTCCTTCTTGGTAAGGTAGAATAGCTGTTGTTGTTGTGCCAACTAGTCGGGTTCCGCTATCCTTAGGAACGGAACCTGGCCAGTGGATGATACATTCCCGCGATGTTATCGTTAGCACAAGACCCTCCTGAGCTCCTGTCAGTGGTATCCCCGGCGTTGGATTGAAAGACCTTTCGAACTGTCCCTGATAGGATTTTGTCGTGTTGTCGAGCCCAAATGGAAAAGAACTCGGCCTTTTGAAAGAACTCTGAGGATAATCCGAGTTGTTTTGGGTTGTGTTCTGAAATCTTGCCAAAAAAGAACTCGGTTTCTTGAAAGCACTCGAACAAGACTTCATCTCGGATACGGAGCTTGAATTCGAGTCGGATGCGTGTAGCCGTGAAATCTTATTCGAATCGGGTATTATGGGCTGCGCGAATCTTCTGGTGAGCTGATCCGTCGTAGTTTTTGAAATAGGAAATTCTTCATGATGATTTGGATCTTTGAGGAGATGGCTTTGAAGCTTGCCGTAGTTGTCCACCTCGCAGATCCATGAGCCGAAGATGAAAATCGATCCCGTTGGGAAGATCATGTTATCGAGGTCCATCGAGCTCTCGGATGCAAAGTCGCCGAAAGCCCCTACCTGGCGCGCCAGCTGTCGATGTTTGACCACCGATAGCCTGCCACGGGGGTCCCCGGGGCAGTATGTTCGGGCTTCAGCGTATGCGGAACTCGACGGTAAACGCAAGAGACAGTCGATTTATCCTGGTTCAGGCCCTCGATCGTAGATCGAGTAACGACCCTATGTCTAGTCGGCGTTGGCCTTTGCGTTGGATTGATTACGAAGTGTTATATTGTCCAATTGTCCTCTTTCAGGAGCCCTGCCCTCCTTTATATAGTCAGGAGGCCAGAGTCCTAATCGGTTTACAATGAGATTTCCTAGTAGGATTACTTAATAGTTCTATTACTAAGATTACATGGGAAGGATCCTAGTTGAACTAGATCTTCTCTCTCTCATGCGGGGTATCCTGTGGGTACCGCATCGACAGGGGGTGAATTAGGCAACTTAAAAAACTAACTCTAAACTATGACCTCTTTTTCTACCTCTAGCAAAACCTATGCAAAAGATAATCTATCTAGATGTGCAACTACGGTTTTGCTAGTGTGTTGCTATCTCTACCGCAAATGATAATAATATGATCAATGTAAATGCGGAAGCTTAAAGAGCAAGGTAGAGATATGCAAACTCCCGTCGACGACTCCGGTATTTTTTATCGAGGTATCGAGAAGCGCGCAAGCTTCCCCTAGTCCTCGTTGGAGCCCCTCGCAAGGAATCCCTCGCAGGGCCAAGCTCCCGGTCGGGTAACTCCGTGGATAGCCTCGGGCCTTCCACGCATAGTGTGGGTCTCCGATATGCCTTCCGGCAAGCCTCTCCCGGATGCTCCCCGCCGTCTTCACTATCAAGCTTTTCGGCCGAAACGCCATGGGCCTTGTTCCTTCGATTTTACGGTGGCGGCCGCACCACAAACGCGCGGTTGGTGCGATCTCGCAAGACTTCAAGCCCCTCCGATGTACAACACTTGTGCTCACAAGCACGGGGTGGCAAGAGGTATGCAAACCTCACTTAAACACTAGGCAAACACCTAGAGCAAGCGCATAAGCGGTGGTCTAATCAACCTAAGCACTTCCATGAAGCACTTATGCTGCTAATCACCTAATAAAACACTAAGCACTATGCATGTGGAGATCACTCAAATGGTGTATCAACACTCTTGATATGTTTCTCGGCTCCACACTCCTCAAATGGCGGTTGGGGTTGTATTTATAAGCCCCAGAGAAGAAAGTAGCCGTTGAACTCGAACTCCGCAAATCTGCATCGACCGGATGTTTGAATCGTCCTGACCGGACGCCTCCGTCGTCCCGACTGCTAGAAGCCACGAACTACCGATCGGACGCCGCCAATGTCCGATGCCGCTCACACCGGACGTGTTCGGTCGCGAGCTTCAGCGCGCTTAGAACCTCTCTCAGATTGGATCGGACGCTGCGTTCCTGCGTCCGGTCGGTTGCCGCCAGTGTCCGGTCCTTGCGTCCGGTCGCCTGTCTGCCGAGCCATCGGTCCAGCGTCCGGTCGTGCTTTTAGCGTCCGGTCCAGCGTCCGGTCGCCTCTGCGAGCTCGTTTCTTCGCGATCTTGCGCATGGCTTGGTTCCTATCTTCATGCTTGGACTTTGCTTGACGTCTTGGGTCTTTTCTTGTGCTTCTAAGGTCTTTCTTGAGGTGTTGATCATCAGATCATCATGTTGCCTTCGTCCAAGTCACGTCTTGCACCCTATTGGACTACAAAACAAACACTTGCAAATTCATTAGTCCAATTTGGTTGTGTTGGTCATCAAACACCAAAATCCAAAGTAAATGGGCCAAGGGTCCATTTTCCTTACATACCCCATTTGACAAAACAACTCCTTACATTAGACAAAAATGAATAAAAGACCAAAATGCCCTTCTTTCTCCTGTCCATATCTTCTTCCCCTTTGTGCCAGATGAATCCGAGGAAACTCAGGAACAACGTTCGTCGCTCCCTCGACCTGCCCTGCCCAGCGACCTGACCAGATCTGGCACTGGCAGAGACACGCCTCGGTGGCCTGATGCCCCGTGCTCACGCGCCCGGGTGGCGTGCCCCTCTGCGGCTGTGTGCACCTCTGAACAAGCAGCCAGGCTGGCTCAGCGCCCGAGGCCCGAAAGGCCTGGGTGGCCATGCACCCTGGTGTCCGGGCGCCCGCACAGGTGCCCATGAGTCTCGACGGGGGCAATCCGGGGTTTTATCCTCATTGGGTTCCACGTAGGCAAGGTGAAGCCAATTTTTGGCTCCACTCCTCATCTATCCTTTGTCTCAATGCATTTTAAGGGTCTCTCTTTGTGAAGTCGTTTTATTTTACTAGTTTGGCGCAAAAAAGGCTTCAAACTGCTCCTAAAGCCGGTGGAGAAGCCTTACCAAATAGGGCCAAAGATTGTTTTTCAACCATAATAGTTTTGTGCTCTCAATGTTCTACCATATTGACTTGCTTATTCAAAAAAAAGAATTTTGCAAATATAAAAGATAAAGTCAGTTCATTGGCACATAAGGATTTGCGAAAAGAGAGAGAGAGAGAGAGAGAGATGTGAAGATGAAGTCAGTTCATTGGCACACAAGGATTTGGAGAGAGAGAGAGAGAGAGTTGCGTCATCATTTTCTTTGTGTTGCTATAGCATTGAAATAGATGTGATGCCCAAAAGGTAAAAAACAAGAAGCTTAGTATTCTTGTTTGCAATCAAATGCTTATATGGAGTCATGGTGAAAAATAACACTTTTGCTCGAATTCGTAGGAGACCTACACATCTTTTATATCAAGAGATAAAATGTGCGCACCTTTTATATGAAAAGATAATGTCATTTGAAGAAACCTTCGTCCGTTTTTTATAGGTGTATTTTTAACTTGACCCTACAGTAGCTTTTCACTAACAAATCAATGTCATATCAAAAAAATCTTTGAAAGATGGATTAAGTCCATTTTTGGCCCCTCAACTATGGTGTCGGTCTAATTTTAGCCCCCAACTACAAAACCGTCTAGTACCGGTACCCCAACAGTCAAAACCGTTCACTTTTAGCACCTGGCGCGGGGGCAAGGCTGTTTTGACCGACATTGAGCGGTTTTAACACACAACATCCATCTCAGTGACATGTGGGGCCCACGCGTCATCGACTCAATCCCTCCCTCGCCTATGACCACGACGTGGCCGTCTGGGATGGCGGAGACGGTCGCCGCGGTGCGCGCGTCCTCGAGCACCTGCGCCACCGGTCGCCACGCCAACGCCGTCGCGCGCCACGAGGCCCTGCGCCTGCGTCGGGTACCCACCGACGACGAGGAACCTGCCGCCTCCCCCGGTGGCGACGCAGAGCCCGCGCGGCTCATCGCGCTCCTCCGCCATGTCCGGGATCTGTGCCCACACGTCGGCGTCCGGGTCGTAGGCGAGTGCTGACCGCAGGGCGTTCTTCTCGTCGTCGTGGCCACCGGCCACATACACGGCACCGCCGATAGCCGCGCAGGCGAAGAAGGAATGGCACGGGCCCGGCATGGGTGTGCCGCGCCGCCACGCGCCTGTCAGGAAGTCGTAGACGAACACCGTGTCTGTCTGGGACCACATCTCCGGGTGCCAGCCGCCGACCACCATCAGCCGCTTCCTCCCATGCCCGCCGGTGCCATCCACGACGACCACCTGGCAGAAGAGGGGGAGGCTCTCGCTTGGCCATGGCAGGGGCGCCCACCGTCCCTCCACCGGCTCCAGCAACACCATCCGGTACGAGTTCGCCACAGTCGAGTGCTTGTCCACCGCCAGACCAGTGTCGTCGTCAGTCGTAGGCGCTGCCGGCTGTGCCTAGACCAGCGCCTAGACCACATGTGGGACCACCGTGCCGTCCCTGCGTTGAGCGCTGGCCTGAGCATGCGGACGGTGCCGTGGAGGCGCGCGAGCGCTGGGTGGCACGGCTGGCTCATGGACCGCGCGTGTGCTGCCACGGTCGACGCTGTGGCCGCCTTCCTCGTGGACAGCCCTCTGGCCTTTCTTCGATGCCAAGCAAGTGGCGGTGTGCCCTAGCCCCACCTTTGCCGAGTGGCTATAAAAGCCGAGAACATGATTGCCATTACTGACCGCACGTCCCTCCATCCCTTTCCAAAATTCATCGTGCCCATCCATCTCTCCCTAATTCATCTCGTACACAACTGCCTCAGGTTCCTAGCTATCTCTTGGACGCGATCCCAACTACTTCCGTGCACCAGCGTGCTCGTCCAAGTCGATCTCACCGCCGTGGCCACCATGGACACCGAACTAAGGTCGCCATGGCCGCACTCTCCTTGCTCCACTTCTCCGAGCTATTTTTCATGATTTTGCTCTGATATGATGCCTTAGTCTCGTCTACGAAACATGTTAGTCGGAGGACCTTCGCCATGACGGGAAGGCCACTGCCGCCGTCGTTGTGAACCGGCGCACCACCGTACACGTGGCCAGGCTTCCTTGAGCCGTCTCTCCCATAACCGACCCTACAGAAGCATTCGCGGTGAGTCCCTGTTTCTCATCCGCCTACCCGTTAAACCTCTACCATCGCTGTCTCGTTGGAACGTAAGCGCCATCATCGGCGAACCCGCGCTTGCGTGGGCAGCCGCGCTCTGCCCCCGCCGCTACCCCAACTGCGCACCAGTGGCCTTGCAGACCTAGCGCGTGGGCTGCGTGCTCCTTGTGCCTCCCTCCCTTGCCGCCGGTGAGCCTCCTCCAGGCCGGATTGGCCGCTGGCTGTCGCCCCCTGTGGCGTGCTCTGCTCTGGAGCCACCCAGGGACTGGGAAGGTGAAGACGAGATTTTTATGGGTGCTAAATACAAATGTTATGACTCATATGAATAGTAGTATGGAGTGAAGATTAGTTTCATGAAAATCCAGGGTCTCTCATGCAAAATGCGCAGCACGCCCTGGGCCTCCCCTCCTGGGCCGGCCTGCTCCCGCGCGTGGTCAAAACCGCTCAACGTCGGTCAAAACAGCCTTGCTCCCGCGCCAGGTGATAAAAGTGAACGGTTTTGATAGTTGTGGTATCGGTATTATACAGTTTTGTAGTTGAGGGTTAAAATTAGACCGACGCAATAGTTGAGGGGCTAAAAGTGGACTTAATCCTTGAAAGATTGGATTTATTCATATAGGTATTATTGCCTCTTTTTTTTGTGACGATAGGTATTATTGCCTCATGTAAGGCGTTTTGTTTGTTCTAAATTAAAAAGTTTTCTAAGTTCATTCAAGTATATAGAAAACGTAGCAACAGCTTACAACACTAAATTAGTTGCATTAAATATGCCAAATTTAATCAAGCTTAAATAAGGCTAACTTAGGATAAACATAAAACACCATGAATTTTTTAATCGAAGTATTACACACTATTCATGCATATAATTTTAACTTTATTAGAATCCAAAATTTGATGAAGTTTATTAATCCTGAGTGTAGCGATTACTTTAGAGATCTCAGAAAAAAGAAAATATATGGCTAGAGCATCTCCAGAAGTTTGATATAGTTTACTTGCTAAACTATTAGATCTAGTAAGTTAATAGAAGAAAGAAATAACAGCGAAAAATGTGTAGCCTAATGGTTACAAGAATATTAGTACGTAGGGTCGAGATGTCGGACTATAGGGGGTGAATAGTCATTTCTAAAACTTAATCGCATCGGCTAACCGAAACAAATGCGGAATTAAAACTATCGGTGTAGCCAAGACTACACCCCGCTATCTAAATTCACAAACACCTTATAAAGATCCTAAAGAAGCAACAAATGTGTCAGGCTAGCTAGAGCTCACCTAATCAATTCTAGAGCAAGGTCACACAAACCTATGCACTAGTACTTCATACAACCAGGGGAGCTCCTACACAACTAGTGATGCAAAAGCACAAAGCCACCTAAGCTCACTAGCAATGCTCAATAACAAGGCTACAGAAGCCAAATTATAGAGCGCAAAATACTTAGCTACACAAACTAAGCAATGTGACTAACAAAGTTACTAAAACTAAATTAGCCACCCAAGGGAGCTACTTCTATGCTACACAAACAAGAAGGCAACTAGCAAGCTACTAAAGCTAAACTAGTCACAAGAGCAACTACACAAGCACAATGTATGAAGTGTAAATACAAGCTTGTGTTGCATGGAATGCAAACCACCGAGAAGATGATGAAGACAATGTTGACATGGTGATTTTCTCCCGAGGTTCACTTGGTTGCCACCAAGCTACGTCCCCATTGTGTCGACCGCTCACTTGGTGGTTCGGCGGCTAATTGGCATCACCCGCCAAGCCCGCACGTCGGGCACCGCAAGAACTACCCCGAAAGTGAGGGTAGCTCAATGACACGCTCAACTAGAGTTGCTCTTCATGATCCCCACGGGGTGAGCACAATCCCCCTCACAAATCCTCCTCCGGAGCACCGCACAATCTTCTCGCGTGCTTCAACGGAGTCACAAGCCACCAAGCCGTCTAAGAGGTGGCAACCTCCAAGAGTAACAAGCACCACCGGCTTGCAACTCGAACACCTAGTGCCACTCGATGCAACCTCACGATACAATCACACTAGAATCGCTCACTCGATTAGATGATCACTATCAAGCACAAGTGAGTTAGAGGGCTCCCAAGCACACCTATACAAGCCACCAAGGCTCAAGAGTGCTCGGCTAGCGACCAAAGGCCAGCCAACACTTTTATTTATAGCCCTAAGGACTAAACTAGACGTTACCCCTTCACTGGGCTTTCTATGCATCGACTAGATGCGTAGGTCCACTTGACCGAACGCGTTGATCCATGCGTCCAGTCGCTGCCATGTTTCCACATGTCACTAGCCATTTAAACTAACCGTTGCCGCCAATGGCTATCTCCTATGCACGCCAACAATCACTGATCGGACGTGCTACTCGGCTTGACCTGACGCTGCCCCAAGCCACGTCCGATCGCTTCCAGTAATGGTCTAGAGAAGCTTTTATGTGACCGGACGCGTCCGCTCCTGCATGACCAGATGCAGACCATTGTCCGACCAGCTCTGCACCCGCGCGCCAACTCCAGCGCCACCTACGTCACCGTACGTCACCTGTGACAGGACGCAAGCCCTGCGCGTCTGGTCACTTTTGCTATGCAGCGTCCGGTCACTTGACCGAGACTATGCCCAACTGCTGCCATTGACCGAACATGCAGGTCCTGCCGAGGCCAGCGTCCGGTCACTCACAGTGACACCTTCATTTCTTCACCGAGTTGATCCTCATCAACTCCAACTTCTTCTTCTTTGCAAATGTGCCAACACCACCATGTGTATGTGTGTTAGCTTTTCAAAAACATTTTTAAGGAGTTATCCACTCAACTTGCCATGCCACTCGATCCTAAGACGCATGCAAAGTTAGATCGCTCAAGTGGCACTAGATGACCGATATGCAAACAAGTTTGCCCCTCTTGATAATACGGCCATCTATCCTAAACCCGGTCATAAACTTCTCTACACACCTATGACCGGTGAAATGAAATGCCCTAGGTTATACCTTAGCCTTGCGCATTCCATTCCAACTCCTTCGATGTTGATGCAACACATGCACCAACATGATCGACAATGATATGATCCACTCCATATCATCACGTGATCGTATTGATTCATCGATCTTGACCTCACTTGCTCTTCACCGTTGCTTCGGTCCATCGGCGCCAAGTCATCACTCAACTTGCCCTTCACACTTGCAACCGGTCCATCGAGCCAAGTCATGTCTTGATCTTCTCCACCTTGATCACATGACTCAATTTCATGTCTCATGTGCAATGAGCTCCTTCATCATCACATGTGTGAGCTTTGCAACATCTTCGAGCCATCTTCACTGTCATGGCATATGTTGCTCATAGACATGTACTTGTGGACTAATCATCTGTTTATCTCACTCAAACACATATTAGTCCACCTAAGGTTCTCACTCAATTACCAAAACCAAACAAGGACCTTTCAATCTCCCCCTTTTTAGTAATTGATGACAACTCTATAAAGATAAGGAAATAAAGCACTTTTGGATTCATGTTGCTTGTCCCAGCAATTTTACCATGTGTAAATGATTTTGGACAAGTACCACAAACCTGAATTGGTAGTATTAGCTCCCCCTACATATGTGCTAGAGTGTTTGGTTTGAAGCTCGCACATATACATAGATTGGAATTATGGGAGAGTAATTACTACCAAAGATGCTAAGGTGTAAAGAATTAACCTTTGAAGCCTGATACCAATCGGAGTTGCACTATTAACACCATCCTTAGCACCATGAGTAGCTAGACAACAAAAATACTAGAAACCCTCTGAGATCAACATTATAAGCAAGGTTCTAGTACCACATGTAGAAACACAAGTCTAGCTACCATCCTATACATGCTAGTTTTCATTTCATCAATCAAATTCTATAACTAGCATACACCACACAAGCATGCATATCAAATTTAAAAACTTATGCAATGCAAGCAAGCACATGAATATGCATATATCAAATGCAATCAATCAAAGTTCAAGAGCTTGCTTCCCCTACTTGTGTGCTTCTCTTTGCCCAAGAATTTTGATCCTTCTCAATTCCTCAATGTTGCTCCCTCTTTGTCCATGTCCATGTCTAACCTCTATTTCTTTGTCTCAATCTTTCCTAAAGCTTTCATATTGTAGGATCTCTGGTTGGCCTAGAGGGGGTGAATATGCCTGTCAAAACAAACACTCAAACTTTTATCAATTTCACCCTGTGGCACATCCATGCTCCTATGGGG